ACACTTACTTTTGATGACACAGTCCTTGGTTCTGTTTGCCGGGAGGCGATCCTTCGACTGCACCGGTGCGCAGTGAAGAGTGTTTCCCCTCTAGAAAGCTAGTCTTATGTAAGTCGTGTTTAGAATCCCTCGAATAATCTCCAATATCCCTGGTTTAATCGAGGTTATCTGGTTTCACAGACGACCAGACAGCTTTCCTGGCATTAACAATTCTGTCAAATTCTGTTTAAAACTATCTACGTTACTGTTCTGGTGGGCAGAAGACACCGTCTTCTCGTATTCAAACAACGATTAAATTGTGAAAACGAAGCGAACTCCCCCAATGATCATGTTACTGTTGGTGTTGTATATGTTCGCTTGCTGCTCCTCCCACGTGTGCAATGGTAGGAAGCAAGTCCGGTTCACTGAACCCACAATCTACTGAGCGTTCACTTAGTGTTCATCCTGTGGTTCTTGAGTATTTTTCCATTATTCGATGTAACCTGACGTTGTTGTGTGCTTGGAACCTGGGTCAATAATAGTGAAATAAATAATAATCGTTTAACTGTGGCACCCTTTCGTTGCCCAGCTGCCACACCATACAAAGAAGCAGGAGGGCTGGGATACTGCCAGTTTAACCAAGCCTAGACAGAAGCAGTCAAGGTTGATCTGGAACCACGTATCTACCGGTCCGAAGGCTGGAGCTCCCCAGTTAGATGTTCCGTGCAAAGTATACTGCCCTGTATGCAGTAGTGACTGATACGTTCGACTGTCCTTTTCGCTGACCGAATAGTAAACCATTCCTTTTACGTGCACAGTGCAGCCATTAAAACAGATGGCACCTCTTCAGATGCACAAAGATGACGGGTCGACATCTGTGGAAAATAACTAAATAGTCAAACTTAGCAGAAACTTCGTGACAAATTAGTAACAAGGGACGTCCAGCACATTGAAGTGAGGTGAGTAGGATGAAACCAGAAATGTGTATGTTTTACCTAGGATTCGTTCTATCTTTCCGTCTACTGAAGATTCACAAGGTTAAAGATTGGCACGTGGATGCAACTTTTGCCTCTGAAATTGGCTACAGACTTTGAACCTTCTAGGACTGATGTTCGAAGGCTGTCTGAAGGAAGCCAATTAACTGTATACTCCTGTTGTTATCTTAGCTGATTTCATTCTAACAAAATACATTACCCCTGCGTCTGTGTAGAATTTCCATCAGAGTTTCGTTAATGGATAAGCGCTCTATTATTAGGTGTTCGTAACTTAGGTCCGTGAACGGAATAGCCAAAAATTGATCCACTATTAGCCTACGCCTTTCCTATTCGCTGATGCTCATTATTTTCAGTCACGAGCAGAGAGGCTCCCCGATGTAGCTTCATGGTCGTGATGTGAGTCAGGTTGTTTTGTCTCTAAAAGAAGAAACACGCTTGAGGATTGAAATAAGGAACGAAAGCTTTTGGTCATTCAGTGGTCCCCTCGCAATTAAATGCTACATAAATTTCCTAAACATCATAGGCGTGTTTCGCACGTTTCAAACTCTTAATCACCAAGCTGGTTTGACCATTTGGGGAAAACCGTTCCAAATTCGATTGGAGGCTTTCAGGCACATTTCAGATAGCCTTGGCTCCAACTGCGGTCAGTATAACAACATCAGGAAGCTGAAAACTGTCTAAAATGGTTGGATGGTCCATCAGAGAAATATAAGCAAAAACCGCCTGTAAACATGAAAAACCTGGTTGGTTTCTCACAGCTGTCTTCCTAATGATGCAGGATTCACGAAACTATCGATCAACGTCTACCAGATGTATTTTTGCCACACATACAAATGGTTAGGCTAATTAAGCGATGGAAACAAAAAGGGGGCGTTGTTTGAAGAGGAAACACCGGACTACTGCCCATTAGGATATATAAAATTGAAGATTTTAACCCATATGTTGGGAAGATCTTTGCAGGTACAAGAATTACAAATGAATATAAAGGGAGGTTGATGGACTAATTCCGCTGGAAAGGACATGTCTTTCTCAGAGGCCAATAGCTTGAAAAAAAGGAGGTCAGTTATTCATAGAACTAAGTAACAGACAGTGTGGCCTATGAGTTGACAGCAGCTGTAGCTGATGCCTCGAAAAAAGCTATGCGAATAAGGTACCTTACAATTAGTATTGGTCTATTTCTTTGAGAAATCAGTTTTTTTTAAATCCTACATTATATACCCAGTTAAAACCCTCAAACCCAATAAAGGAAAGAAAGGGTTAAACACGAGGGAATGCCTGCATCAATTCCGGCCGGAATGAGAAATGAGAGGATGCAGAAATCCTAATCCACCAGTAAGCTCTGTTGGCCATGGACTAAGTATACGGTCGCACCAGAATCTACCGTCTATCGATTAGTCTCTGAACATACGCATTAGGCACAGATATGTCCGTTGTGCCAGTGTCCAACCAAGGGTTAGGACACATGTTCCAACAGGCGTCGTCTGAGTGTCCTGATAGCGGTAAGGTCAACCGATCCATATCGACCAACGGTAAATCCATCGCCATCGTGATGTGAGTTAATTTCAAAGCATCCACACCACCCTATTTAAAGTGCACCGAGCTCGAGTAGACAGACTGGCCAAGCAGTGTCCCGTTGGTTTTTCGCAGGTAGGTTGTATTGCAAGAGGTCCTACAGTGTGCTTCACAGACAAATGTAGAGGTTACCTGTCCATCACCATCCTGAAACGCTAGCGCCAATGCTTCCAGCTGAATGGCAATCATATTGCTGTAACTGTAAACGGTACGCTTCTCAGTAAGCTCCTACTTCATGGTTCCTGGTGGACGGACAAATTACGTTTTGCAATTACTGAGGACTGGTTGCGCCGTTATGGTTAGAGACTAAGCTACCACTAAAGAATTGTCAAACAAAACCTCGAATTCAACCAGAATCCTAGTTGAGTTCCTAAAAGTTCATGTCAGATTGAAATGCAAATCCACACTGCAAATCGCGATATTATTTGGTCGGTCTGCATACTGGAGCTCGTCGCAACTTGAATAGGGTGGCACGCATGCTTTGAAATCAATTCACATCATGATGGCAATGGATTTACCTTAAAAATTCGCGTCGAACCTATACTACTTATACTACCTGATGTAAACTTTATCCTTTATTGGCAGAATTTCCCCCGTTAGTTTCTTTTTGCATAAACTTTAATGAAATTTCAGCAATATTTCACGGTAGTCATTGTAACGGGGCTCTCTTAAAAGACAAAGAAGAGGGAAGTCCGATTAAACTAAGCCACTGCATACAAACCTAAACATCAGCAATATGGATTTACTGTCAGTGCTCCACGCGTACGGTATGATGTTCGTGTCGTCTCAGTAGTAAAGTCATACCTGCTGATGTTGCGCTGTGCACAACACTCAGATTTATCCTTTGGTGTGATTTGTTTTTTGGTATATTATTCGAACAGATGATAGTTTTCGGAAATATTTTAGGTCACATTTGACCTGGACAAGGAGCCACTTTTGGAGAATCACGGAAACTCTTGGCATAATGTGCGGACAGAATATTGCCACTGCACAAGTGCAGTTCAAAATTGCACGAATCTCTCTAGACTGATGGGGTCGCAACAGACCACTAGGTGATCTTAGAAAAACTCACTGACTGCTCTGTGCTCAGCACCTGTTAGTGCTGTGAACACCTATCTAACGGATGGAATCAGAAATCTGCGTTAGCAAACGTCCTGTTATTAGTTTCTCCGTATTCTGTGAGTTAATTAGGTGTGCTTGAACAAATTTCTGACAGCCCCGCGAAAATAAATTCAAAAAGCATAGCTGTTTGGCATGAAACAGTTCAGACCTAAAGATGATATCAACATTTTCTTCCAAATAGTGCATAAGACTTATACTTTTCACTGACGTCAACAGCTTTTCGATATGCTGCGGTAAGAAGTGACTGTAGCAAACTTGATTAGGTTAGTGCATTTTACTGTGGTTCTAACACTAGGGAACTTTTGAAGCCGTGCAATTAGCATTCAAATGTAAATTTTGGTAAAACTGTCCTATCCGTGATTAAGCAACCTTCGTGTTTACATTTATAGACCCGGCATCCGGTTACAAAAATGTATTCCAATTCTCAGGAAACAAACACTTTGCGTCGTTCACCAGTTGAATATACCCAGACAGGCTTATTGGCAACTTAGTTTTCACTAACATTTGGAATATTTTAACGGTCGCCACCAATATGGTTACCTTACGAATCGTCCCGATCTCCCAAGAACTGTGCTGGACATCTTGACACAGCAGCTACTTCTGAATTTGCTGGACACTAATCGACAGGCTTTTACCGATTTCACCTTTCTTGTATGGGCGTAAAAGCCCTTCCTAAACATCAACCTGAACGCCATTCACGAACTGCACCCATATTCAAATTACTTTGGTGTTACTGGAGGAGTGAACTATATGTATTGTTTGTGGCATGAAAATTTTGCTATATCAAGGAGATATCCAATGCTAAAATTTCTTGCCAACGGAAACCTGGAGCGGCATTTTCACAGGATGACCAAATGACGAATTGCATGAACAAGAGAGTCAGTTGAGTCCCTCGTACACATCAAAACAATATGGAAGTGAGCCTGTTTTGCCAAACTGTGCTGAACTATTAATAAATTACCAGGGATTTCATTTGGAAGCATGCGTGCAGATGGAGCAGCCAAAATTATCTTGTTCGTTTTTTTAGTGTCAATTCAGCTGTGGCCTAATGAACATCAAAGTCGAATTAAAACAGTTGCTTTTTCGGACATCCATCATTCAAACCGAGGTTAAAAATGAAACATATCTATTAGGTTGGGACATTTCAGCTTCACTGTCGTCAGATGCCTGCTTGAACACAGACAATTCCAACATTAGCTAGCACGTATTCGTTTTAACCTGCATAAGGTCTGAATATCCTTGGACTGAAATTACAGATGCTGTTTTCTGGACTCCGGAAAAGTAAGCTTCTCTTAGTATGCTTCTAGATTGCTAGATAGTTTCGGGCAAAATATGGTGTACGATTCACTCTCGCCTTCACTCTCACTTACCTTCATATTTCCCTATGCTGCAGGTACAAAAATGGACTCAGAAGACGCGAAGGAGAAACTGGTCGTTATCACCTTGTATGTCGCAATTGGTCTGTCCGTCTTCGCCATGTGCTTCAAACTCATGCAAGAAGAGGTCGTGGACAAAGTGAAGTGGTTCGCAAGTAAAGTGGGTATAATCAAAGGGAAAGACAAAAAGAAGGTAGAAAAAGCTCCTTAGGATCGCAATGACAACTCAGGACTATTGTGAACTGTTCATTGTATGTTTGACTACGCGCGTGATTGAGTGCGTTTGTGCATGCACGTGGATTTGCCTCCCTTCGACGACATCCCGACTTATTCAGAATACTAGCACTATTTTCGACATAGGCTACAATACTGTCGTTTACTTGACGTAACATCTCGGACAATAACAATATGAATCAAATTTTCCTTTATACTGTTGCCGCTCTGCAATTCACAGAATATGCTTACTTTGACACGCGGCCCGGAAGTGCGAAAATCGTTGCCTGCACTGAGAAATTAAAGTAGCCCACAATCCTCACTCCAGAATGTATGTGGCGATGAGCGCAGTTGGAGACAGGCGTCTCTGGCCCTTTACATACTAATTTGGGTTTCTCAGATGACTAATATACCTAGATCACGGAGGTTACTCAAGACCGGGCAACAAATTGGGACTTCTGTTCTGCGAAGCTTAGCGAAAAGACTGGAAATCCGGTTACACTGCCAATTCTCGGACTTGTATTTCACTCGCTACAGGTGGCAATAGTTGTGGCGCATATTTTGGATACGCTCCAAATTTTATGATCTTTGGTGAAAATCATCAAACCATTCATTAGAAACTGACTGATCAGCAAAGGTCATGTACTCACAGTATCGCAACCAGGCCAGTACCTAACTTGTAATCACTAACTGTTGAATGGACAGTTCGGGCGACGCCATTGGCCTCATTCTACACAACCAGGTCTTTGAAGAGAGTGTGCTTCACTAAAGTTGAAAATAGACATGATTTCGTACTCCGTCAATTTCCAAAAATTGGATGACTTGTGTATGGTTTGACCACCCATAAGCTGAGAGAATTACTGAGGCCTACAAAATTCTCATTCAGAATTGTGATCACCACATTGTTTTAAATTGGACCAGATGTCAACCAAGTGTTTGTAAATTGTCTGTTCGTCAACCCCTTGAAAGCAACACTATTTTATCATTCAAGCAGCAATGACTACAAACTGAATGACCAGATGCGTGCCATTGGCCGATCGATTCCTCCGTGTTCTAGACCACGTGTAAGTCGTGTCTCAGAGTCTCGCCTAACTGATACCAGCAATTTCAAACAAGTTTATTGCCATAGGTCCAGAATTCTGTTTTGAACGCATTAGTCAGTTGACATGTAAGAATTTGGAGCAGGTGTTTGCTGCTGGCTATAACCCCATCATACTGATATAATGCATCCGTGAATGGGTAGGAGATAAAACCAGAGGGAACGATTTTCCAACAAAGCACATTATTACTTTTTTTACCTTGGTTATATCAAAGAAAGCCACTAAACTTGTTTGTCAATACTCTTGATTTATCTTCTTTCAGCATACAAACTTCTATCAATCTGTCACACACATCGGACGGTATGATCGTCAATCAAGCTGATTTCAGGTTTCCCACAAGCTAAAGTCTAAAAGCCACTTTGCACAACGATCTCCAGTCGACTTCCCACATATTAACATCGAGGTGTTTTTTTTTCTTCGTGGCTACATTGCATAGGTATGTCTTATCGAAAAAAGGGACTCGGGCTTAATCACAATCGCTCACAGGCAGTAGCCAGTGGTGTTGACAATACTACACAGATGTTTAGGAAAAATTGATGGGGAGAAGCCAGTGGATCTGAATGACACCGGAAGAGATTCAGTCACAGAAAGGGGGGAATGTGGATGTCAATTAAGAACAAACACTTTAGAGAAGCCACGGTTCGTCCGCCACAAAACTGATCCGCTTATTCAGCCTGAGAAGTAATCGCCGGTTTAATCTTTGGGTTTATTGATAGTAATTAGGCGATATACTGAAGATTGCACGACTCTTTTTCTTCTCACGGAATGTAGCTACAACGCAAACATATATCAACATATTGCATTTTCGTGACTGAATACACTATAAGGAAGGCAATGAATCAATGTTACTAGTGGCACAAGATTAGCAGGGAAATAGGCGAAATTACGCGTAAACAATAAGCTGCAAGGCCACGTTGAATGTAATTCATACCAGAGCTGCAGCATGCCAGTGAAATTCTTTACCAGTTTTCAGATTGAGTCACATGACATGACAGCTGCCCATCTACCTTTTGATATTCCACTGGTGCATCTATTGAGGAAACGTACTCAGGAAAACCAGATACCTTCAAAAATGGCCAGTTCCAACATTTGGCCGCGCCACATTCATGTTCTAACCAGTGAGACACTGCAAAATACCATGCGTCCCAGTCACATAGAAAAGAAGATAGAAGAGAAATTCTCTTCTGGGTGATCTCTTTCAGTAGTTGGCACAAGTGGTGCCCGGTCGATGGTCATTCAAGGTCATACCAAAATTATTCTTGCCGTAGCTAAAGCTGGATTAAAAGAAGTCCCACTGTTTTTATTATATTATAGTTTAATCTATTGTTGTTTGAGCCTGCTACTATTACTGACTGGAAATTTTTACCTGGACGCCTCACATAGAAAGCAATCAGCTTATAGCTCAGGAGAAGTGCAGACTCTTAGCAGTAAGTAAGCTTTATGCCTTTTAACAGACATGCGACAAAAAATTCTGACGAATTCAGCTCCGTTTCATGATTTTTGTCGTATCCAAGTACATGTCCGTTGGTTGAAGAAGAATCTGAGAAAGCCACCGCGCAGACACTTTCAATGATGAGTAGCGCTGTATTGTCTAGTTGTGAGACAGTCACACTGCGACCAACATGGTCAAGTCTTACACTCCAAGAAAGGTTAAATGCTGCAACTACGGTGTTACTATCTGGTACTGCACCATCACTGCGGTCTGACGGCAGAGTGGCACATCTAAGATTTCCAAGTGAATTGTTGGCAGACTCCACCAGTTCAGCATCTGATCTGGTAAACTGGGATGAACAATAACAGTGATTCGCTCTGGACACTAGTGAATTGATGTGGAGGTTTCCGTTCAAAATGCCGGTGCTAAGAGGTGACAATGCAAGTACAGAAGTCGCTCTCGTGGACGAACAATACACTAATGTGATTGGAGTGGTCGAAAGAAATACACCACAGGTTCTTGTTAGATGTTAATGAAGATGACAACAAATCTCCTATTCCCGTCTCAAATTCACGGTTCCAGTACCGCTAATTTCATTCCTCGCCTCTTCACGTGGATTATTTCAATTGTAGTTCAACCATATAATGAAAATAAAAGATCCACCTAGAACAGTGATTCAGTTAGTTCCAAGTATTTGCGATATTTTTAGAATCCTCATTCATCGGTATCTCTCCTACATTGGCGCGGTTATTCTGCTTAGTTCATCCTCATCACCAACGTGAACACGGTTGCTTACTCAGGCGTGATATATAAGGTACAATGGGGGTTAGTGGTGGAACTCCCAACTCGCATATCAGATATCTAAATTCCAGATGAAGACACCACCACACTTATCCACTACCAACGAGCTCCAACGGGAAAAACGAATCTATTGCTACACCGATTAGTTAAGTAGCGAATGTTCCAAATGGACCAGCAGTAAAAAAAATGCGGAAAATAGATTGGTGGATGTCTACCTCTTTTTTGCTACAACCTAGTGCCTAAGGGTAGGAATCTTGTTGGACGGGGAGCTGACAAGATGCGTGAGACTACGAAAGCCCAAATACTTCTACGGGTTTCATGCTTTGCAATAATCTTCTAAGATATCACGGGTAACAAATTGGGTGTTCATAGTTCGTGTCAGGGCATGAAGGAAGCGAACAGTACAGTCATTGCCCAGAATAAACCATTCGTGGTCCTGTTCATCGTCTTTCCCATACTACCCAACTGATTGAATAGTCATAACACATGTGACGACCAAACAACAACTATAATACAATACAAAAATATAGTAATAAAGAGCTGTGTAAGTGTTGAATAGCTAAAAAATGTAGAAATTCGAATGGACGTAAACAAAGTGGTAGGTAGCTGTGTACTCATTTGCCCAAGTCAACACAGAATAGTTCAGTCCGACGTTTAAATTCAGCGAGGGCGCGCTGTCGAGATTCTAAATAAGCACAAACAGATGGGGATCGAAGTAATTCGGATTTCTTCGCATCCAGAACAGCTTCAATAAGCTTCTTATAGTTTGGGCTAGAAGGATCGCCCGCTGGATTCCCGGTGCATGTGGATCCGCCCCCAGAACTGGAAGAAGATAGAGGACCGGAACCCGGAGGCTGAAATAAGAAATGGGAAAACCGTTGAGGAGATGCTGGAAACTTAGTGGAAACACCTTATATAGTGGGGAACACCATATATATATATATATATATATATATATATATTTGAGATACTTTATAAAATATACTTCAATCACTAGCGTGAAGTGGAGGAATACAGTAGACTACAACTCAAATGAGGATAGGCGAGCAGGCTGGACCACAGCTTTTTTTCTTACGCGGTTCACTATATCAAGGTATATAAAGTATAAAGTATAAAGTATAAAGTATAAAGTATCTCAAAATTGGTGACAAGGATAAAGGAGGAACCTATAAAGCTATAAAAAGCGACCGGTTGGACTCTGAAAACCTTAGCCATATGGGGGTCTTTCCCATAAATAACCAATTAGATCCCAAAACCAGAACGTGATAACTATCCGGTTCCCCGCAGTCGCAACAATCTGACCTTCAACCAGAGGCCAGATTGTATAAATAAGTCAATATTCGATTCAAACCACGTGCTTCTTGCATAGGGGTACGACATAGCTCAGTGGTTAGAGAGCAATTCTGCTGGCTAGGAAGTCCGTCGTTCGAACCAGCCTCTGCCGCTCGACTTCCCCTATCTCCGCTTCGACGACCCAGCAGTATCCTAACCCCCGTGCTTCCTTCTGGGGGCAGCGGAACTGAGACGTATTCAGGTGTTCGACAATCGTTATCTCAGAAACATAGCTCGTGTGGGTTGGCGTCAGCGAATCCGTAATGAGACCATTAGAAAGCGCGTTTTCGTTTGTGCAACAGGTACTTCCATTGAAGAATGCGTCCAGCACCAGAAACTACGTAAGTTGGGACATGTGTTGCGTATGCCTAGCCGTCGTTTGCCGAAGAGAGTGCTGTTTTCCATGCCCAACTCAGAGTGGCGGAAGCAGAGAGGGGTCCAATCCTTGGCCTGACAGAGGGGTATGAAAGAAATCACGAAACTTTTTGGTGTTGTCGGTGCTGCCCACCTTCAAGGATGGGGACCGCGTGATCCTCACTGCGACTGTTTGGAGATGCTGCAAGATATGGCTTCTAAACGATGTCAAAAGCGATCTTGTTTGCGATCCAGATTGCCTGAGGTGTAGACACCTCGGAATGATCGTAGTAAGCCAGCACTAAGTCCCTTGAGCCCGTCTACCTTTATTCTTTTCTTCATGGTTGTACGGCAGCGAAGCATCGGTGTCGAACACTGACGTCATGTTGTCGATGATGATGATGGCTGGTGGCATTGCAGTTGGACATCGAAGGGGTGCTACAGCAGAACTACTTTTCTTGCATGGGAACAACACAAGACTTCTGTAAGCCAACGAAAAAATAGTGAGCTGTAGGTTTTTCCCTACTACCCATTGCAAAATATTTAACAATAAAGCGTGTTCTACTAGACTACCATAAAGTGCTATCGGGTCTACGTAAAGGCACGCTTCTCCCCTGTGTCATGAGTGGGTGACCAAACCGTACCGCAGTGACATCTCTTTGGTGCATAGCTGGTATGCAACCCCAAGGAGCCACGAAGGCTGAATTACTGCCGCGCTGTCCAAGCTAAGCCAGGGTTTGGTAGTAACCAAGAGACTTCCGATCAATAGCTTCTACCTTAACCAATCAGTCAACTAGGGCTCAGGATGAAGTGACAAATAGCCGGAAAATTTTCCAGAAAAATAGTCCTAGTTCACTAGTTCATCAAAATTGCGATCGTCCATCATTGCCGTCGACTGATAAAATACAGACTATCAGTCTGAGGCACTTATTCGTTTTCAAACCAGAGCCCTCTGTGCTGATTTGACTGGCCTCCGTACTAGTGAAAGATTATTGAGCTCTCCTTTTTTTCGTTCTTAACATCAAATGCGGTTCTTGTACAGTAAAAAAAATGCATAATTTTTCACAGCGACGATCATATCTGAATTAGTTGCTTTTGCTCTGTGCTATAAAGCTCTGATAGTGGCTTATACGGAATGAAAGCCCACTTCTAACAGAAACAGCTAGTGCAGAGTTGACCCCACTTCCTCTCCACGATTAGCGGTCGCACTCTTCGTCTATCACTGCTAAATAACATTGATAACCCTTTAGCGTGCATTCCTCTGTGTTCGGCTGATTTCGTAAGTGCGCACTGAGTTTTGTCACACTGTGATTTATGAAGATTTAAGTCCCACCAGAAGGCAATTCCGTTCAAAAAAAATTTGTCAAATGTGAGCACGAGTTTCTGTAACACTAACCCTCTGTTGCTCATGTCGGTGAGAAACCCACGAATTCTACTTCACTTGCGTTCATTTTTTGATTCGAACTCAACATGGGTCATACAGTTTCCTGATTTTAGCAACTCGGAAAATTCCCCTAGCTTCCGGAAGAACTAACAGCTTATGAGTGTTGGCTCTTAGTAGTGAGCCACTAACTCACAGATGGGGCAGTTCACACTACCGAAAGCAAAAATAAGAACCGCAAAACATAGCTGAGTAGTCGTAGAGCTAGTCTTTCGGTGCTGAATAGCTGACCATTGCGTCAATCAACTTGACTGCTCGTAAAAATTCACTGTCAGATTGCAAAGGCAAAACACTTCGGATTAAACTTCTTGAAATTCTGATTAGATATAAAGCCATCTCTTTGAAAATATCTTTTGTAGGATTGAAGAGGGCCTTGGTTAACCATTAGTGGCCTAGCTGCCCTCGAGTAATACACGCAAACTATACATTATTGAACGGAAACAATGGCTTAAAACCTCGTGATAAACAGCATTCGTTACTTCAGTGGACAACTACTTTATAAGTCACGGGTTGTAAATTTTTGGCTTTGTGGTGAAATGACCGAAATCCATCTTCACGCTTGATATTACATTTTTCGTGGCCGATGCTGAATACTTCATTAGGCGGCCGAAGAGGCAGTTGTCTAGGAAAATTTCTCTCGACCGCCCCGCACCGTTGGCTTTTTCCGGTATATCACAAAAGGCCATTTGTCAGTCGTCGCAAGCCCACGAAAGCATTAAGTAAGTTCCGCAAGATAAGCAATAAGGAGAATGAACTTCACTGAAACCACAACGGTTATGCTCAGTCTGAAGACGAAATCGGTTAATGAGAAGCTTGTGACCGTCCTGTTTTTTGCCATATTAGTCCCGGGAAAAGCGATGCGCCTAATGAGGCACATTTTAACGTCGCTTGCTTCGTTTCTTTGGTTCACGCTGTAGCCAACCTAACTCACAGAGGCAAATCGCCAGAAATAAAAGTAATCGAATGATGAGTACGTCTTTCAATTAAGGTTAAAAACGAACGTTAGGGTTCACAATTTTCGATTCTGCTAATCAAAAAACAATGTGTCCGAGAAACTAGATGGCGCAGGAATGAACTAATCAAAATATGCTAGACGTGGAATAGTAGAGAGGAGCACTGTACAGCTGTAGAGCTGACGATGATTAGGATGCTCAAATCGGTTCACGATTTTTGGTTACAGCCGGTTTGACACTGGGGTGATAAAGGCAAGAGTGCAGGATTGGTAAATGCATAGATCGGGATGGAAGTGAATCGCAATTTCACATTTGTTTAAAAAACAAAGCATCTACCATGGCAAACTACAATTGGGTGAATCATTGTCGGATAGCTAGAGTGATACGGGACGGACTGGTCCAATTATGCACAGAGCTATGATGAGATGACGAAAAAGGAAATGTTGCGGCTTTTTTTACTTTCAGGCCTGAGAATGTTTTGAGCTCATACTAATAGGAAGGATTCGGAACATGTTTTGGTCATGCGCGCGCGTAGCTGGAACACGGATAGGACTTTAATGAAGTATACAAAAACATCGACAAAACATGTTGTTCCCCCAGCTGCAATAAGCCTCAAAAACTGTTTAAATGCTTTTTCAGTGTCCACATACATGCCGGTCAGTCCATCAGGCATCAACAGCAGATGATATTCTTAGTTCGTAGATAACGAAATATAAGATGAGATCTATGAGACTGCCAGGTTTTGTCAGCCAAAAATTCAGCTTACCTTTGCCTGGTCATGGACCAGCGCCACTTCAGGCCGCAAAACGTACTCATTTATATTCGGAAGGGTGCTATTTGAATGTGCGTGTACACTATTTAGACCGTACACAAGCACGAAAAAATGCCCAAAATTAACTTTGTAAGTGTGAAACTTCTTATTAGAACTTGAGATTCAAAAGTGCAAAATGTCAATTACTATCTAACGGCCATTTGGTGATGCTTCCTGTCGGTGTTACTATGCCCCTAACCTGAATGAACTAAACGCGGAGATCTTGAACACGGCAATTTATGGACTATTGGCTGCCTCATGAAAGCGATAAAATTAGTAAGATTAAATATCAATGAGCAAACACCATTCAGAACTAGGTAGCAAGCAAGTATACCTGAAATACATGAATACCCACCGTGTATACAGGACCATCTGATAATAACTTTTCAGTCCGAGCCTTGACCAATTCATCAAACTCCTGACGTTTACGATTCGCTGCCTCATCCGGATTAACTGTCTTTTTTGGTCGAACTCTGTGTGAAGGCTTCGGCACCTGGGTCTTCGAACTACGGGAGTGGGGTCGATTGCCACCAAGGCTACTCAAGTTCGAGCGATGAATTTCGATTCCTGCACTGGTGGAGGTTTGTGGAGGACTAAAAGGTGGTGCAGGATTGGACGAACTGGTGGCCCCGGAAAACTGAGCAACGGAAGAACTCGTAAACGGGAATTGGAAAGCGGGTTTTGAAATGCCCAGGCTGTTTGTTGCTGATAGAACAGGGTAGGCACTATGTTGCTGCCAACCAAAGCCTGAATAGTAGGTTGCACGACCGGCTTCTGTGCAGCCAAATGGGTAGGCTCCTGGATATCCAGTAGTTGCCGTCAAGTTGAGTGCTCCGTTGTTCTGAGACTGGGAGGAAGCCGATAAAGGTTAGATTCCAAAGGGTTTGGAATGGTAAGGTTTGTTGGACCGAGGTCCTAAAAGCAACTTCAAACTTCATAATTACATGGAATCCCTTGAATCCGCAGAAAAGGGCTCGAGTAACATCAAGAATGGTAGAGCCCCGATTATTAACTGAACCACCCTCTCTCGTGACAGAACGGAGATACGTTCAGCTACATTGTGAACACACGGATGAATATAACTATTAAAAGAACCCGGTGCGCCTAACTAAGCGAAATATGTAGTCTTTCGTTTCAGTCTGTTCCAGGCCAAGATATTGTCCAATTTGCCGTGCGAACCAGGGTGTGGCTACAAGCGTGCCCACTCAAACCGCATCCTACCATACGAGAACTAAACAGAGCCCATGGTGACATTCGCGTAGTCTGCGTCGCAAATACAATGAAAACAGACTACATCAGGTGAAGCGGTACGCAAGTTGGTCCAAGGAATGATACACGATTGAAGAAACACAGATGATATCATCCACATATAAGATGTGTTTGTTTGTGTTGTAACTTCAAAGAGAATGGCAGTTTCTGAAACCTCAATTAGTGTTCGACTGAGGCAGCGGAAAATGAAACCCAAAAACACCAGTGACAGAAATCTGAAAGATTGCCATGGGTTTCGGTGCGTGGCATTACGTTTGAACGACTCGGAAAACGACAATGTTGGCAAAAAACCGCAGCGAAGCAAACCAGATCACACGGTAAAGAGGCAAACAAATAAATAAATAAGATTTATCACTAATGATGATCATCACAGTCCACATAGAAAAATCGCTGCCGTGCAAACATGATTCAGTTGAAATCCCTACTGTGAAGAATAAAAGTGGACGGGCAATAGACTTAGTCGTGGCCTAACAAAATCGTCCCTAGATGTCTACACCTCCGGACACTCATTCAAGCAAACTGGAAAGAAACTGATAACAAGAACGCCAGTGACATCCATTATCAGCCCCATCTTACAGCGTCTCCAACCAGACGTGGTGGAGAACACGCTGTTGATCATGAACGGCTTAAAAATTCTAGAAGAGGCTACGCATCTTCATTTGCTACTGTCCAAATTGCTGCAAACCTCCCATGGATTTGTAATAAGATGTTCATAGAGTGCAGCTATACCCGCCAATGGCTTGGAATGCAATGTGGTAGGTTATTCAGTCTTCCCTGCAGAGTGTACCGAAATGTATTTTTCTGAGCTGCTGCTGATCCTACTGAGTCATCAAGCAAAATGACTGTGTACAACAATACCCAGTGGCGTCTAACGAAGTTCCTGCGAACGAAATAAGCAGTTGCAAAGTTAGAAATTTAGGCTGCCTCCCGTTGGGGACGAAAGGGCAATGAGAGCGCTGGACCATGCGTTGCGCAGCAATCAGTAACGAAAATTTAGTGATGACTAATAAAAGCTAAGGAAAAAATTGTGCACAAAGTAACCAAACGCACATTTACAAAAATAACGGGTAGTCAACGGTTCGTAGCAGTTTAATGGCGAGCGGTGGTATTTTTCCGCTGTAACAAGTTCAAATGCTGCACGTTCCAATAAATTCACTAAAGCCCGGGAAGAAAGCGTTCCATCATATGCCGACGGAAAGGCTCGAAGTTCCTTAAAGGCGCAGTCAGATGGATGTCTTAAGGGGAGAAGCTCATCGCAACATAACAGAACCCTTAAGCAACTAAATTATTGGAAACAGAAAGGAAGTTCCAGTATGGTGAGATTGAGCTCAGATAGTCATTCCGTGCGATCCTAAAGTACCGCCCCTCACCAGCAAATTCTGCACGGAAATGATAAAACGCCATTCACTTTGTTCGTTGGAATGAACCCAGTGGTCAACACTAGGAGTAAAAACGAGCCTTCCAATGGCATTGATGGTTAATACAGGACCACCAAATTCGTGGTGGCAAACCTGAGCCATTTCTGTCATACTGCTTCCAGTAGTCAGTGTACAGTATGGGCGATTTCAGTGTAAGTCCACCATTAACAACACCAGGGAAGAACGGTCGTTTCGTTGCCTTGCAATCATATCACTTTACTTACAAGAAATTCCTTGTTGAATCAGATGGGAAAAACACAGGCCTGGCACTAGCCAGCCATAAACACCCGAAGTGCCTACCCCTCTGGCAGTCAAACGATCTAGATAGAAAGTGATGGCATCAAGGCCACTGATATCAGCCATATATTTCAGTGACTCCAGGGATATGGACTTTTCGTAACATCATTCACTCCATTCTGCCGGATCATAATGTACCCATCTCTAGCTCACTCACGAATCGAGATTAAGCACGGGAAAAATTCTTCTGGGCATGCGCGGCAAATGGCTAGCTCAACACACGTGCAATAAGCACCTGTTTCAAACAATTTCATGACGAATCCATTGGTTCCAGCCAATTCTAGTCATAGTGCTAAGACATCAGCAGTCAAAGATCGAGAGACGTATCGGAGTCTCCGTCCGTAGTAGCCGTATGTGAGGAGATGAGGACGTGCGAATTCACCGTGGTTAGATCGATACTTAGCACCGAATTCTGAGTTACTTATCCTCTGATTAGTTTGACAACTACGTTCCGGTTCAGTTTAGCAGATACCTCTGAGGAAAAGCGTCTCAGTTGCTGCTCAGCCCGAAAAAGACTGGATCTAAATGCTCATGTCATACTGTAGTATGCCCATAATGGCTGAGCTTCCAAGGACGCAACCTGCCGTGTAGCAAAAGTAACAAAGTACACAAGGCAAAATTGTAATCATCCGTCCAGGTTGGATGGTACTTCAGAATTTAAAACCGTCAGCCCACTGGCTGTTGCCTGTGAAACAGTCTAGAAGCCGTCGTCAGTGCTTCCAATAAAACTGAACTATCATGATGATCAAGCAGGAGCTAATACTTTGGCTAAGAGGTGAAAATGTAAAGACTCTCAAAGTAAATGGGAAATGACATACGGAGGAACCCACAACACGAGTACCCAGCTGATGTGAGTATCCAGCGGCGGCTGCAGCTGCAGCAACTGCAGCCATAGCGGCAGGGTGAAATACTGGATAGGCGGGGGATTGTTGGGCACCAGTTTGGCCCTGGAACTGAGGGGAACCATGAAAGTAATTCCCCAAAGGAGCTTGAAATCCATTGGCAAGGTTCGCACTGGGAAACGCCATCGAGGGTAAGAGTAGTGAGGAAAGTACTGTTTTGGAATGCGGGACGATCACCCCTCAGACTGAGTAAACCGGCGAAATTGAATCGACTGTATGTTTGTTGGGTCGACGAATTGGCAAAGGCCGCAACGGAAGAGATTGCTATGCCCAAATTTGTGTGACAAAAAAGACAGAAAATTATGAGAAATTATGACAAATCAAGCAAATTATTGGAAACAACAGTGACTGCAAGGATCACCATTATCACCATCACCATTACCATTATTATTATCAGCTGTACTTGTCGCAGTGGTTGCAGCTGCCACAATTTCATCCACCGATGATTTGGGAAGGTGGGGTAGGTAGCTGCACATTGGAGGTGGGAGCTGATGATTTGGTGCGCAAATAAACGTCTGTCAGTGGACTTCTAAGTGTGGGAAATAGGAAGGAAACTATGCATTGAAGGTGATAGCTTGGATGCGTGAGCGCCATTGAAGGCGCGACTGGGTCATTTTTGACAAGACCTCTAACCACTGATTTCGCCCGTCTTGGGGTTCCCACCCAGGGAGACGGTACTGACCAGAGCAGCCGAGTTTGCTGATAATGGCTTTCACTCTTCGTTGCCAAGTCGTTGCTGGATATCTCTGGGCTCGTTTCCACTACTTTACTTCATTGAGTTCACCCGCTTCAGTTACAGAATGAGATCGGACAAAAGTGTACACGGATGGTCATACAGTCACTGACCGCCAAAGAGCACGATGAACCTGCCTTGAGTGGGTTTGGAAGAGATTACAGGTGTAAATGACACACATCTATGCAGGCGGTGGAATTTAAGAGGGTACAGGTTAAAAAGTTTTAGGCTACCGCATTCGCGGGACGTTCCCCAACACCTCATCACAGTATAACCAGAGAAGCTAGACACGCCCATGGTGTTCCAAAAGAGAACGAAGAGTCGGGGAATAAATGGTTACGCTGATCCATCAAGGCCTGCGCAATACAGAGGAAACCAAATATTCCACATGTCCACTTCGAAGAATAAAAGCACATCAGCGGTAGATCTGTCGTGATCAACACCACGTCTTCATGGTGGTCCGAAATTTGCATCGTGTGTGACCCGAAAGGAGACCGTAGGGTGAAGTTATGCAATTCTATAGCAATGTGCTTTCGCATTAGTTGAGTGGAAGACGGGTTGGTCTGAGACCAGTGACAACGTACGTGAAGGGATTGCAAGTCTCTCGATGAAATTTTCAGGTCACCAGCGACTGGCAGACTCCATACTGCCGACTATCCATTAACGAGACTAACTAAAAAAGTAGGTGGCCTGAGAACTGCCAACGATCCGTAATATTATCGTTTGTGAATAAATGAAGTTTAATTTGCCATTTACCTGTTTCGGCTACAGGTAAACGATCGGCAATAGATTACTTTGGTTGAAAAGGAGTGACGAGACATATGTTCGGAGGGCGACTGTTCGGGTAATGCCATTGCCCATCCCAACGTACCATCATCACCAACATCGACAGCATATGTTTAAATGATTTTTCCCTTCCACACAACCATAACTTATTTGAAGGCCCTATAGTGAAGAAGCCTTGTTTCTTATAAATCTTGCAGTCACTAGCTGTCCATCGCTTTATAGTGGTACGTGAAGCATTTGTGAGCTCCAGATAGCTCAGTGGATAAGGTGTCAGCTTACGGAACGGAAGGTTCGTGACTCGAACCCGACCTCTGCTCTCGACTTTCCCTATCTAGTCTTGAGCAACTTGGCATATCGCAACCCTTATGCTTCCTTTTGGTGGCGTGGCAGTTGGGCACCGAAAGGGTGTTACAGCTGAACGATACCGTGTTCAGATCTCACCGGGCGGGAACCTCCTCGGCCTGGAGTAAGATGACATTTTTCTCATTTTTTTGAAACAAGGGGCAGGAAACGTGATCACTGCTAGAACAGCTGGTCAAGGTCATCCGGTATTTTGAAATGTCCTCCATGTCCACAAAGTGGAGTCTTCCTGCAGGACGTAGTCTTCAGGCATGTCCATAAGGACTCAAGGACAGTCACTGGAAATAGTAGATCACCATGCGTACCTCAGAAGTTCCACTAGCGCCGAAAGGCAGTGTGACAGACGAAGTCAACGTGAGAATCCAAAGGGCCATAAATACTTCCGAACTTGCGCCGCTCGCGGTACCAAAAAAGCATATCCCCGGATCTCAAAGTACGAGCATGTCAGGCAACAATTCAGATTGCATTGTTGTGCGATTGTGACTTGACAACTTCGAGCGGAGGATCTAGGATTTCTTCGGGGTTTCGACTACTAACGTCTCGGACCGATAGCTGAAATCGGTTCAAATAAGCGAATTCGGAATGGAATGATCACGAAACGAGTTTCTGGTGAGGCAGATGGTACTTGAACCACAGTGCATCTAGCATTGCAAGTTAAGGTGGCTGAGCAATATAACGCATGCAAATTCACCAATCGCCCAAGCGAGCTGCTTCCAGTTTCTAGTTCGGAGTGGCGGAAACCTGAAGGCGGGTAGGACCTGAAGGGGCAGAAGGGAATAAGGGACGTTACGAAAACTTCCGGTCCAGGATGAGGCCCATGTGACATCACCTGTGCTTCGCTGGAGACAACGAGGGTTGTGGTGGCTAAACGATGTCAGTGGCGTTCACGTTGTCAGTTTCTATCTTGATTACCTGACGGGGTGTTGGAAATGTAAGCACCTCAGATGTTTCTGGAAGGTCCCTCCCCCTGCACTATTTCTCTATCAATTCCATAATAAGGCCTTTTTCGAATGAACTGATATGGTTGTAAGGCAATGAAGCACCAGTGTCCTTCAGTGTTGCTGTGAATGACGACGATGAAATAGTGAGGTCGCCAAAAAAAGTTAGAACGGGGATACCCGAGGATTACTTCACTTGATCCGCGCGAGCCGCCCTTCGGAAACCAGTGACGAACAAGGCCGCCAAGGATAAGAATGCAGCTAGAGCTGATATATGGTTGATTTGTCAACTTGAATGAAGCATGCTTCAACCAATTCCCGGATTCACGGATTGATACATAGAATCGAGGCTTTTGCCCAAATTTCCCGGGTCACATTTGTTCTTGTCGTTCAGCGGCTGTCGTTCACCTGAAAGGCACAAGTTTAAAAAGGGTGTAGCGCTGCTCTTCATGTTCAATTCAAGGGGCAGTATGCTTGCCAGCGCGAGTAGCGAATATTCTGAGCAATTATCGAGCAAACAGCTACTACTCTTCTGGAGCTTACAGCTAAGGTAAAACCTTGGACAGTGAATTCGGAACCCCCTATGGCCTCACAGGTTAATGATTGTGTATACCGTTATTACAACGGTATTTCCCCAGTCTCGGTGTGAACCATCCAAACTACCACCAGAGGTGCGCAACATGTATTACCGCCTAAAACCAGGAACGCCTGTAGAGCGCGTCCTATATAAAGTGCACGCGGAAACCAAATTACGTAAGCATTGGCAGTCGGCAATCGGCGGATACTGGTCCGGGTCTAGACATTCAGACAGTCAGAGTTCAACTAAATGATGGAGCGGTGTACGGCACGGCCATCTGGCCAATCACGTGCAGAATAGGCGCCGCGCCTTCGAAGCACAATACATTTTCTGCAAAACCCTTGAGGGTGAAATAAAAACTTCAACGGCAAAATGTTGCACTTCTTCGCATGTGTGCTCAATCCAAAAATCACTATCACCTGCTGTCACCTTGTTGCGATTTGTTTTAATCGATCTCTTTTGAAAATTAGTGGCGCACATTCCACTATGAAATTCGTGTGCTATGTCTTCGAAGCCGTGGGCTAGAGGCACACCCAAAATTTCTCTGAAACCGTGGTTTGAAGGAGGAAAACTTTAAAATAAATTTTTAACATTTGATGGTAATTTTTCGGGCGTATGATATCTTCACAAAGGACCGCAGTTTTGTTGAAAGTTGTTTAAATAGGAGGAAAATTTAAAATAAATTTTTAACATTTGATGGTAATTTTTCGGGCGTATGATATCTTCACAAAGGACCGCAGTTTTGTTGAAAGGTGTTTTAATCTACTCAACCCCCACGATATTCAAGGCCCGCCATATTCATATTTTAAATGGCTGCCATCGCTGAGCACGTGAATCCGGGGGGGTGATTTTGTGGAGAATTTAGCTCGTCAAAGTTTTTTTCTCTTTCAATGCATTTCGGGTCGCTTTGAAGGAGTACCAGACGAAACATTTCATTGTTTCCGTCCGTATAAACTCCAAAAAGAGCAGCAATTCGCTACTTTTGTATGAAAAAGCCCTCGACCGTTGCAGCAGACATCCCTGCAAACGAATCAGAAGCCGTGGAATTCGTCGCATCTAGTAAGTTTTGTGTACGTTGTGGCACACGTCGTACTGATTGTCCGGCAAGGTTCTACGTTCGCCGGTACCATGGCTGCTTGAGAGTTACTTCCTACTACCTGGAGCACAACCATCCACGCAGCAAGTTTATTTTTGACAGGCTCCCCATCAACCGGCGACTGACAAATGATGAATTAAAGGAGCGTTCCACCCTTTTGAAATACGGTGCTCCGCCATCGGAGACTCGGCAGTACGTCGCCTACCACTTTGGAAAGGTACTCACTATCAAGGATGTGCGTAACTATCGCGTCAAATGTCGACCCCCGCTGTTGAGTAGGCCGTTGGTTACCTTTTAGTCGGTTTCTTAGATGACCTGTCGTCCATCATAGCCAGGTTTCCAGAGTGCGGTCGCGTGCTGCTGGTGGAATCGGAGGGTGGCAGATATAGTCACCTGTGCTTTTCTCGAACGCAGCCGATAGCACTCTTTAGACGTTTCCCGGACGTCTGCACAAGCAGCTTGATCGGTTGGTTGGCAAACTGAAGCTACTGGAATCGCGTAAGGTTGCTGGGTGCATGAAGTGTCTGATTGTCCAAAGCCAGCTGATGTTGCGTCAAAATGCAATTAGTGCACAGGACAAGCAGCCTCTGGTGTTAGATAGCGACCGCAACCAACCACGGTGGCGTTCGACATCAAACAACGCTGTTCCCTGTGGTCTCTGTGGCCAGCCAATTGACTCTGCTGATTGGTGTCAACATAATCGACTTCCACATCGCCGTTATTGCTGCGGCAATGAGCCCTGCCCGCTGTGTGGAGAAAATCTTCAGGCGCGTCCACCAAGTGAGTGCACATGTATAAATGAAACTATTCCCA